ACCTTCGATTGGCTACCAGAACTCAAACGCCGGCCATGGTGATGGTGTGGGCCGCCAAAACAGCCGGTGGTCGCTCTCCGCTCGTATTAATCGACCATGGCATCGGAATAAATGCCGAATATTATCGCGAAAATATTATAGAATGTGTATTAAAGCTTTGGGCACTCACACATTTTGGCCGCATATCCTGGACATTCAACAAGACCCAGCCATAACAGCCGATGGTCGCTCTCCACTCGTATTAATCGACCGTGGCATCACAATAAATGCCGAATATTATCTCAAAAATATTCTGGAGGGTGTATTAAAGCCTTGGGCATGCAATAGTTTTGGCCGCAGACCTTGGACATTCGCCATCCAGGAATTGTTACAAAATGAGGTTCCTCACTTTATTTCCAGCGAACAATGGCCACCAAAATCTTCGAATACCAATCCGTTGGACTGTTGTGTCTGGAGTATTTTGGAGAGCAAGGTTGGCACTAAAACATACCAAAGTGTCGATCACCTCAAGCGAGCACTTCGCCGGAAATTGGCCAAAATACCGCAGAACAACATTCGGGCAGCGTGTCACAATTTCATTGGCCGTTTGAAGGCCATAATTCGTGCCAAAGGTGACCAATTCGAACAAATCTAAACTTATTCTAAAATTTCATGTTATTTCCGACATTTTTGCTTTTGTTCCATAAAATTAAAAAAATTTAAAAATTATGGCTTTTGACTTTTTTGCAGTTTTTTATTTCACCCTGTCTGTGAATTTATATAATTGGACTCCAAGCCTGAAAATGGGTTATTTGTATATAACTCTACAATGCTAAGATTTTATTCCTAAATACTAAATAAATTTTAATTTTTTTGATTTTTTTTTTTTTCAATATATTTCTTATTACCAATATCTTATTAACTCATCACAAAACTTCCCAACCCACCACCGCCTAATTATGCCTTTCACCTGCCAAATGCTGCGGCAGCAACACATTTATTAATTCAATTTGTATAATGATTATCATTATCATTATTGTTTTTATTATTATTGTTATTTGTAATGTCTATATTTATATATTTTAATTTCCGATTGATAATCCCCACCATAGCACAACAATCAGCGTGTCAATCAAAAATAATATTTATCCGATTGACATCAATATAATAATAAAAATAATTGCAGATAAATTGCAATAATATGCATATTTTTACTATACATTATATGTTCGTTTGTGTGTATGTGCATCGGCTAGGTGTACATAATGTGATTTAATTAAGTCGTGTAAAATTGATAAACTGCCAATTCGAAATGGTAGTAGACAAGAGGGGAGGATTTGAAGAGGGGGTGTATAATGGTACATACAGAGGTGTATAATGGTATATATAGAGACAATTAGAAATATTCTAACAAGTTAAGTACGAGTCGGTTAGTCCTCCTGTCATTGAGGAGGAACTAAAAACGGTCTTGGGTTTGGAGGACCTTGAAACACGACTTTGGTCAGGAATACTTTAACTTTTCTGTCAAAAGTTTTCTCCACAGACAAAATTTTTCGAGGAAGTCTAACCATCGAAACTCTTTAAAATATATTTGAACAATTTAAAAAATATAAGTCAGTTTTGCCGACAGATAAATACTCTCAGTCAATGTCCGATTATTTATGATTATTCAAATTGTTGAACTTCTATGGAGTAGGTTCCGAAGAATGGACCAATATTGACCATTTCGTATCGGACCTAAATAAATATGATATAAATATTGCGACGTGGCAGGTTTGGACCAAATCGACTTCATTTTATATGAAATATATTGTTAAATTTCCCAGAAGATGAAACTCACCGAATTTCGAAATATTGGAAAATAAAATAAAAACAACAACAAAGACCTCAAGCTCGAACAACACTGGCTTTATTAAAATATAAAAAGGTCGAATAAAAAAAACATAATTTTTTTAGATATTTGTTTTTTTTTTTTGGAAATATTAAAATTTATATGAGGTACTAGATCTAGCCGACCGAAGATTTCCATCGAGGAAATGGAATATTTATTTTCAATTTTATGCGAAATCATAAATTCCATACTCATCTCAGGTTACTTGTTGAGAGATTTATTTTTAAGATATAGCAAGTTGTAAAGAATCGCTGACTTGTTTCGCAAGTTATGACAAATAAAAGTATTGAAAAAAATCTCTAACCCTATGTGGGAGAGATACCAGAATTGGTCTGTTCTCTACCATCTTTACAACAAAACTTGTGTTGATAGAAATATAGAGCTGTACCATGTTTTGATCCTTCGTGGGGAAAGTATCAGATCAGAAAACCGATCTTCACAGCAGATCTTGTGTAAGTAGAAATAGTGGGATGTGTGTAATATGAAGAGAGCCGAATGCTTATTTCGGGTTTTATAATCGTTTTGGTTACTCAAAACTTTGACCCTTTGTGGAGAGGTAATGGTTCGATCTCTGTGATCTTTATAACAAGTCTTGTGTTGATGGAAATATGGAGATGTACCAATTCTGTATGGAATCGTATATTAATTTCAGGTTTTATAAACTTCATGGATATCCAAAATATTAACCCTTTGTGGGGAAGATACCAGATGAAGTGGACCGATATATTCCATCTTCACACCAGACCTTGGGTTAATAAAAATATTGTGATATTTGTAATTTGAAAAGATCCAGATTCTTTTTTTCGGATTTTATGTGTGTTTTTGTTTTTCATAACTTTCACCCTTTGTGGGGGAGGTACCAGAAGGAATGGTCCGATCTCACATTTATAACAGATCTTGTTTTAATGGAAATATAGAGATGTGCCAAGTCCGGATTGAATAGGATGTTAATTTCGTGTGTTATTATTCATGAATATTCATAATATTGACCCTTTGTGGGGGAGGTACAAGAAGGAGTGAACCGATATATTCCATCTTCACACCAAATCTTGGATTAATAAAAATATTCTGATGTGTGTAATTTGAAGACAATCGAACTGTTATATGACATTTTATAAGAGTTGTAATTATTCAAATTTTGACCCTTTTTGGGGGGAAGTATTGGATGGAGTGGGCCGATATGTTAAATTTTCGCACCTAGCACTGATACAAATATTAGGATATGCAAAGTTAGATCAAAATCGGAAAATCGTTTCTCTTTCTTTGCAAAAAATATATTTCTTGAAAATTTCGAAATTTTGAGGGAGAGGTACCCGTTATATTCCATCTTCACACCAGACCTTGTGTTAATAAAAATACTGTGATGTGTGTAATGAGACGGATCCTTATATCACATTTGTGAGGGAGATACTTGATGAAATAGGCCGATATTTCCATCTTCGCACCTGACCTAGCACTGACGCAAATATTAGGATTTGCAAAGTTGGAGCAAAATCAGATTATACTTTCTCTTTCAGTGCAGTATTTTCTTTATTTTTTTTTTTTTTTTTTTTTTTTTTGAAAATCTCGACCTTTTTGGCGGAAGGTACTAGAATGAGGGTACCGATATTGCCCATCTCCGAACTCGATTTAAGTTTGATAATAATACTACGAAGTACCAAGTTTGGACCAAATCGGTCGACGGATGGACGGACGGACTGATGGATGGACGAACATCGTTAGATCGTTTCCAAAGGTCCATAGAGACCCCGTTATATCGTTATTTCCTCTCTAGCCATGTAGCTGTGGGTAAAAAATCTATGATTTTTGGACAGGAAAAAAACCCAAAAATATTTTAAAAGAGGCTACGTTTCTGGAACAAATTTTTCACTTCTGGATCCACTTTTCCTTGCTAGGAAACCATTGAAAATATTTAAAGAGAAACAAGAAAAGTAGTTTTGAAAAATCTTCGTTTCTTGGTCAGGAAAGAGATCCGCGTATCCTGACCTGAAATCTGTCTGAGAATTCACGATGCTTGGACAGGAAGCCCTTGATTTTTTTTTGTTTTAACAAACTAGGATTTCTGCTTAGAATCCATTTCAGGAATTAGATTCCTTACCAAAAAACAAAAAGGATTTAAAAATGCACATTTTTACAGAAAGCCGTAAACAATCTCGCAAGATGAAGAAAAAACATTTTACAAAGAGATTCTGCCCGAATTGACGACAATTTTTGAAATATATGTGCGGCCATTGCAACATATTTTTACACACGAGTATGGTCAGGAAGTCTTTGAAAAAAATATTCTTAAAAAAAAATTAAAAAATTTGAAATCATCATTTGCTTCACAAGAAATTGATGATTTTTTTAAAAATTAGATCTACCTGTAGAGTTAACTTTTCGCCACACATATTAATTTCATCTTCACCAAAATTTAGCTTTGGTTTCAACTCCTCAGTCCTGTGACTAACTGATTCGATACATCAAATATTTCCAGATATAATTTTTCTGTCAAACTCAAATATTGACCTTTTCTTTTTTTCCAATACCTTCCTCTCTATAAATATTCAATACGCTAAAATAATGAGGTTCAAATATTACTCCTATACATATTTCTCCCTTGTCGTTTTCTTTTTTCTAATGTGATCAAAAGATTGCATACAATTATATTCACACTATTCCAGTAGGAATTTCCACATAGGAGTCCACATCCTTCGGTACCTCTCAAGAAAAAAATCATTTGTAAATTTGAAACCTATGGCAAGTCACGGAAACAAACATTGGATAAAAAATTTCAGATATCTAGACTTCCCGATCACTTAATATTTTTTTTTTAAACTGGGATTATTACTATTCAGAACTATGAAAAATATTAAAATCCCAATTTTTCAATTTCTCTCTTGTTTCAAAATTTTGAAAGTATTTTTTTTTTATTTAGTCATATTTTCCACATTTCTCGTTTTTAATGTCAGAGTTACACTCCAGTTGTAAAATGTATATCTCTTCAATTTTCTTAAAAACCAAAATTTAATTGACACTTCAACAGGTTTTCTAAATCTCCAGCTGATATTCACCACATGTCCTTTGAGTGTTTATTTTCTATTTTTTTCAACATCAATTTTAAAATTTTAAATTTCTTTATAACACTTACAGCCATTTTTTATAATTTCTGTGTTTTGTTAAATTAGTTTGGAAAAAATTAAATTTTTTGGAAAAAAAGCTTTTGTTGGCTTTTTTGTCTTTAACGATCGAAATGAAAATTTCAACTGACGCAAAAACGCGCCCAGATTTTCCATTTTTCCTATGTTGATGCGAAAATGCAAAGGAGCACATACATACACACACAGAAGTCTAACAAACATACAATACCAATACACTCTCATCCAATATTAGGCTAAGCGTACCAACAAAATTTTGGTTAGATTGTCGTAGTTGTTTTTGGTGGTGGTGTTGTTTTGGCCGTATATTCTTATGTTCGTGGGAAAAAAGAAACAATTTACAAAAACAAAAATCTCAAAAAACATTTTTTTGGGGAGATTGCTTGAGGGGCTGGGGGAGGACCAAGGCAGGGAAGAATAATGACGTCAATTGACAACGAAAAACAAAAAACACTGAATTTCCCTCAGCGGAACAAGGCGTTAAGTGGTGTAGGCGTTTTACATTAATTTGTTGCTAACCTCCCGCCACCCCTCTGAAAATAGTGTTGGCTGCTCAGAGATTTTCTAGAGGAAATTCTTAACTATGTGGTATAGATGCGAAACCGGCGATCGTTAAGCGGAAGTAATTGTTTTTTCCCACAGACTCCATAAAAATTCTTGCCCATCCAATACCAAAAAAAAAAAAAAAATTATCTCCCACGAAGGCCAGAAAAACAAACAAAAAATCAAGTTCACGTCCAATGCCTACGTTATGCCGAAAATTTGTTTCAAAACTTTTTTCACCTTAATTCAATGTTTTCATTTTCATGTTCATGTTGTTGGTTTTTTGGCTGAGTTTCATTCATAATCTCTTTGAAGACAAGGTGCCATGCTCGGTGCTTTGTTCGTACAAGTTGAAGGCTTTTCTGTGGCAATGATCCGATCTGCTGCGATACTTTCAGCTGTTTCTAATGATCATGGGTGGTTGGCGCGTGGGTGCCACCCGCTATATCATGTCCAGTGGGTGGCAAACAATGCCTACCAAAAAAAAAAAAAAAAAAAAAAAAAAACAGCCAATGCTAGTGTCACACAAAATGCCGCCAGTCGTCACAACAAAAATAGTGAAAATAATTTTTGAAAAAAAAAAAAAAATAGAATTAATAAATTAATTTTGTTTTGTATCCTCTCTTTTGTTTTTTTTTTTTCTTTTCATTATTTTACGTTTTCTCCTCTCATCCAAAAATCTGGCAATGTAAAATTTTCTTTTTGAACATTCATTGCATAATTTGTTGCTACAACTTGTTGTTGTTGTTCTTTTTGATATTTTCATTAACGAATTGATGTCATTTTTAATTTTGGAATAAAGCAAATATTGATCGTATATGTAGACACAAAAATTTCATTTACAATTTTCATTTGTATTTTCATATATACCATTCAAATATATTGTATATGTACATAAGTGCATGTAAATATGTACGTATGTATATTAATTTCACTTAAAACATTGTTTTTTCTATATTTTGTATTTTTTTTTTTTTTTTAATTTCCATGGTTAAGTGAGCATTTCTCATCACAGAATTGTTGCAATGTAAAATCTTTTGAAATAATATGAAATAGTTCAATTTCATTAAATTGCTAGGAAATGTTCATTAATATTCGGAAGTCAACCAAACATAAAAATTGGAGGGTGTATATTTCGTTTTGAGTTCGTTTGAATTTTGGCAAACAAAATTTAATGTTTGGGAATTAAAATTATTATACATAATTAAAAGGGATAATAATATACACTAGGAACCTCAAATATTTTATTCCTTGATTCCTAACATTTTTGTGCACTCATCTTAGCTCCAAATTAATTTGTCTTGACCAAAACCTCAACGTTTTATATAAATTATACAGTAAACATATAAAAAGTGAGAATTCAAAAATATCGGAAAATGCAGGCATGCCAATTCTTTTTTATACCCTACACCACAATGTGGTCAGGGTATTATGTCTTTGTACATTTGTTTGTAACAGGCAAAAGGAAACGAGGTAGACCCATAGTTCCTTTTGATGATCTGCATAGAATCACATTGTGAGTCGATTTAAGCATGTCCGTTCGTCCGTCCGTCTGTCCATGTATTTTTGTAAACAAAGTACAGTTCGCATTTATTGCCCTATCCAGATGAAATTTTGCATAGATCATTTGTTTGGCCCAAAGACGAATCCTAATCAAAATTTAGATATAGCTTCCATATATATCTTCGTCCGATTTGCCTTTTATTGTGCACCTAACGTGTAATATCAGACCGAATAGTATGAAATTTTGCACATACAACCAAATTAGGCCTGGAAATAAGTGTGCCAAATTTGATCGAAATCGGTTCAGATATAGCTATAGCTCCCATATATAGTGTTCATCCGTTTTGTCATTTTTTTTTCCTCCGCAGCCGTAATATGCTCTCTGTAACAACAATATTTGGGAAAATATGTCAAATACAGCTCAGAAATACATTTTGTAAATTTTATCGAGATCGGTTCAGATTTTGATATAGCTCCCATATATAACTTCGTCCGATTTACCTTTAATTGTGCACCAAACGTCCAATATTTGCCCAAATGGGATGAAATTTGGCACTTACGATCGAATTTAATCTAGAAGCTAGTATGTCAAATTTGGTGAAGATCGGTTCAGATATAGCTATAGCTTCAGATATACCTATAGCTTCCATTCCATGTTCATCCGATTTGTTATATTTGTTACCCACAGCTGTAATATGCACTCCGTAACAACGACATTCAGGAAAATATATGAAATACAGCTCAAAAATATCTTTGCCAAATTTTATCGAGATCGGTTCCGATTTGGATATAGTTCCCATATATATTTTTATCCGATTTCAAATTAATTGTGCACCAAATGGACAATACAAGTCCGAATTTAAAATATACAAATACTTCTGCATTTATGTATAAGGTCTTTGCGGGTTTATAGAATTCAGACAATGACTTTCGTTTTTTTAAATTCATGTCGAAAAGAGTGTAGTAATAGAGCTGGAATTATGAAATTGGGTATGATGATCACTGTGAGAGTCTAAATAATAGAAAAAAAAGTAATAAACATAAAGTTCAGCCGGGCCGAACTTTTAATACCCCTCACCTTTAGATAAAAAAAAAAAACATTTTTATATGAAAGTATCTGAATTCAAACGTGTTCCACTTTAAACTACAAATACCAGTAAGACCGTTTGGATAATGCTTTTAAACTTTTCAAAAAACCATAAAGTGGGTGAGTCCATACCAAAACGAGAACCTCCATAGACAATTTTATACTTCAAGGATTGTCAAATCTTCTTTAATACCAAATTTGAAACAATTTCGTGGGTAAATGTGCCTAGCATTCCCAAAACACCGACTATGGGAAGTACCGTTATAAGGGGGCTATACGAAAACTTGAACCTATATATACTATGTTCGGCCATCGGAGCAAGAACCCATTGCGAACTACAAATACAAATTTTTAGACAAATCCGTGGAAAAATGTGGTAAAAACATTAAAATACTGAATATATGGAGGTACCATTATCTGGGGGCTATACGAAAACGTGGGCCTAAATATATACTATGTTCCGTCACCGGCGCTAGAGTCCATTGCGAACTACAAATACAAATTTTTGGACAAATCTGTGAAAAAATGTGGCGAAAATCATCAAAATACCAAATATCGGAAGATGAACCTATACAGGGTTGCCCATATTCGACGGACCCATCTGGCAACGCCATAACTTTTGACAGAGATGTCACATCCCTTAATGACATACCGCGTTTGAAGCGTCAGTCCAAGCAGATTTTTACCATGAACCAATACACGCCACGCGAGCGCTCTGAAATAGTTGAAATTTACAAGAAGTCAACTGTGAAAACTCAACGTGCTTTTAAAACATTAAAAAATGTGAGAAGTGCGCCTTCTAAGAACACCATTAAGCGTTTATACGAAAAATTTTCGACTGGTAAGGCTCTTTCTAAGCCGAAGAGGCCATATAAAAGTCGACCAAGGCGATCGGCCGAGAATATCGCTGCCGTACGGCGTTCTCAGCAGTTGGTCATGGCTCGGTCCACTTTACAACGGATTATTCGCATTGATTTGCATTTGTTCCCGTACAAAATTCAATTGACGCAAAGAATGTTGCCTGCGGACAAGCGTCGTCGATTGGAATGGGCCCAAAGGGCCCAAAATTCCGTCGAATATGGGCAACCCTGTATATATATATATATATACTGTGTTACGCCACCGGCGTTAGAGCCCACTGCGAACTACAAATACCAATTTTTAGACAAATACGTTGAAAACTGTGGTAAAAATCATCAAAATACCTGATATTCGGAGGTACAATTATAAGACCACTATACCAAAACTTGGACCGATATATCTCCGTGTATATATGTATGTGTACTTTATGGGGTCTACGATGAATATTTAGTGTTGTGATGAAGAAGTTAATATACCCTCCTTTCCAAGGTGGAGGGAATAAAAATTGTAGAGATCGGTCCATTTCTTCTGGTACCTCCCCCACAAAAGGTCAAAGTTTTGAATAACCTATACGATAATAACATCTGAAATAAACACCCAATTCTCTTCATGTTTCGCACATCTCATTATTACTAATAACACAAGATCTGCTGAGAAGATGGTATCTGATATATCTGTTCACTCCTTCTGATACCTCCCCCACAAAGGGTCAAAATTTTGAATATCCATGAAGCTCATAAAACGCGAAATTAACATCCAATTCCATTCAGACTACAACTTAATATTTTCATCAACACAAGACTTGCTATAAAAATGGTCGAGATTGCGCCATTTCTTCTGGTACGTCGCCCACATAGGGTTCAAAATTTTGAAAAACACAACGCTCAAAGAAAGCGAAATAAGCATCCAACTCTCTTCAAATTTCACACATCCACAAAGGGCCACAACTTCCAATGCTTATATCTGTCATAACCTGCGAAACAAGTTAGCGATTCTTTACGAGTTACTATATCTAAAAATTTATTTTAAACAGATATCAGATATGAACATATGGTTTATCGAAATTTACGATTTCGCATATGATTGGATGTTCGAATTCCTTCAGATTTTGCCCATACCAATATTTTTATATGTATTA